GGGGGGGGGGGGGGGGGGGGGGGGGGGGGGGGGGGGGGAGTAAAATATAGCAAAAAAAGTTTTAAAAGGTGCTGGATTGTCACAATCTAACGAACAATGTTTTCTTCTCCCTTAATCCAATAATGTATAAAAAATACACTTTGCAAATTTCGTTTCGCCTTTTTAAATAGCTTAAGATTCTCGTATCTTTTTTTCTTGTGAAACATACAAAATTGGAACATTATTTTAATATACATCGAGCAATATAAATCACTTAAAAGAAAGCTCATCGTGATTTTCATATGCTATACTTTCATACATGATTCTACAATCTCCACCACGTTAACAATGACGACATGACGTCACGCTCGTCGTTAAAGATCAGCGCGTTCACCATAAAATCTTCCATCCTCTGGCCTCGCCATTGCTCCTCAGCCTTCCCTATGAATTTCACCCATTTTCTTCGTTAATTCTCGCAGAAGCTCCACGTATATCAGTGAATCCATGTTGGATGACAATACGTAAAGAACCCACCAGTCGCCTATTTTGATGAAGACAAAAGTATAATTATAATTTCTCGATTATTGATCTTAATAGATAATTTATATTGTACCTTATAGATTATAAAATTATTTGTATAAAATTATAAAAATTATTGGATCTTTTTATTATCATATTCATTACTCAAGTACTCGAAGGCCTCTTCTAACGACAGATCTCGAATGTATAATTGATCGACACTTTTATAAAGTAATAAATATTGGAAATTCAATATCATCGCAAAAGCACAAGTAATTATAGCAAAAAAGTACAATCTATTACATATTATGTTATTTAAATATTTCATATTGTATAATAATATATAGGTGTACAATACATCATGCGTGCATAATATTATATGAAATATTTCATTAAATACTCTCTGATTTTTAATTTTAGAGTATAATTCGGATGATGAAAAACACATAAATTGCGCACACGAGCTTGTGAATATCGGCTATTTATAATTGAGTTTAATAATTAATTTCAATAATAAACTTCAATGAACATTTATATCTATTTTATATAAAGTTCAAATGCCACTATAACTTTATACATTAATTGAAAGTGGTTTTACAAACAAATTAACGGATAATTAATGTAGTTTTTATAAGAAAAATTACCCAATTCAATCTTCTTAGTGATACTCTGACACGTCTCGAGCTCGAGCAATCTCGACGACAATTGCAGGATCTTCGGTCTGACCACGGGGGCGAAGATAATGGCCGCCCTGTAGAACATGAGCCCGAGCAGCATAAGGGTAAGTATGAGGTACCAGAACCAAATGAAGATGTACGTCTTTTCATTAACGATATTGAGTGGTAATATACAAAGCGAGTCGTGCTTTTGTATAGTACCGGACGCTCCGTACTTGTGGAAGATGCACTTGGTAACGCGCGGGAATATGTAGACCATGGGATCGACGCGCTCCTCCTGGGGCGCTTCCGAGAAGTGCAGCACTCGCAGGCCGTAGGTGACGAATTCGCCGTCGAAGAAGCGGTTCATAAGATAGAGCTGGACCAGGATGTTGACGAGGCAAAGGGCCTCGCAGGCGAAGTACCGGTACACGTACGTGTTGTGCGTCTGTGCAATACATATATTGGCGAATACATTGGCATTTGTAAGAGGGAAAAAGAGTGAGAGAGGAAAAAAAGTAAGACGATACGCCGACCTTATAAAAGAAATGTTAATTTACGATAATGTAATTGGTCGCGCTATGAAAGTACGCCTTGGGCGAGCTTTATTGCTTGATAAAATTTATCGATCATACGATGAATAATTTGCTCCAATTTGAGAATGCACGGTAGGTAGATCAAGCGGACTTTATAATTGAAAATAATTTACATTTTACAGAAATTCAAATTTGGCCCCTTTCGCATGAATTAATTAGCGACTAACGTATATCGATAAATTAGCCCCGCATTAATATTATAAATAGACGTAATTGCAAATTACTATGGAAACGTAGTTTTGTTCGGATACAGTATAAGGAAACTAATGAATGATGCACAATATATAATTAAATAAAAAATGACCAGGGGTGGGAGAAAGTGAGTCTGTATGTTGATCAGGGGAATTGGATACAATGAGGCCGAATTAACTTTTATTGTATCCGGACGACTGATGCGATGCTACGCCACTCTTTGCTGACTTTCTTGACGAAGAACGCGTTCGTCCTCCCTCCTTTTATCAATGTCCACGTTTCCCGAAAACTTGGGATAAATCGATTTCGTAATTTACGGCAATGTAATTTGCATTTCATTTCAAATAGTTATCGAAGCTAAGTTAACCGAGCACTGAAAATTTAGCAAAATTTCGAATTACTGTTGTAATAAGTGAAAACTGTGTTTTATAAACTTGGATAAAGTCGATAAAGTCGATTTATCCATCGATCTAATTAATCAAATAAAAAAGATATTACTATTATTATTATTATTATTATTATTATTATTAACGTTACTAATGCGATAAGTATTATAACGTAATTGCAACGAATTAATGTTAACGATATTTTACAAAGTAATTGTAAAATTTTATCAATTGACAAAACAAATTTCATATAAAGAATGTGTAAAGCAATGAATTTTCAGAAACTTATCTTTATATTTACTAAATGTGTTTTTATTGAAATACGGCTATGGAGTTTTTCCAAGCCACTTTTCATTTTACGAAATAGCATCGTTTACTGTCATTCTTCTTAATATTCGATGCTATAAATTAAAAAAATTAAAGAAAGAAAAAAAAAACCAATGAATTTACTGCTGGAATGAATTGCTATAAAACTATACAACTAAAATTGATTCAAATTTATCATCGTAAAAAAGTTTTTTTTTCATGCGTAATCAAGGGTTGAAAAATTATTAATGAAAATTCATCCGTGCTTCGTTCATAATAAACAAAACTTTCGAATGAAAACAATAAAAAATATTCTCATGACAAAAATAAAATCAAATCCGAAAAACAATAAGAAAGCGCTATATCAACAAGACTTGAAAATACATTTTGCAATTCGTGGCACAAGTGTCAATGCACATCCATTACGCAAGAAAATTCACTCCTACAGAGGTGTTAAGCGGTAAGCTCACTACCACGAGCCAAAGCGACTTCGCGATAGAAGCATTTCTGCAAATTATTTCTTTCCTTGTTGCTCGTTCGAGCGACCGTGCGAGCTTACTCTCGCTACGTTTCGTAACCACGCAATTTAATTCCCTCGACTTTTTTCTAATTATCTTCCTCTTCTCAATTCAAGGATTAATTAGACATTTTTATGTGCTACATGCGGCAGATATACATAAAAATAGAGACATTATAAAGAATTGTCAGTATTCTCTGATTGAATAGCAGCTAATTAAAGTCGACATATTGCGTAAATATATTCGATGCTTACAATAAGGCCAAAGTGCCAAAATATTAATGCCACAAAATAAAAAGAATAATATAATTATATATTATAATTATAATAATTAATTTAAAATTATCCAAAATATAAGGTAATGAATCAGTTGCAAATAGCTGATATAAAATTTAATTATATAATATAAGAGGATTTCTATTTGCAGTACAATTTTTCTACACCTTATTTCAAATTAATCACGAATCTCTTCAAATAAAGTAGATTTTTTTCTTTTTCTTTCGTCTTTAATTAACGCTAATTATACATAATGTTTTAATAAACATTTACATGTTCATACATACGTACGTACGCACGTGCTTACATATACGCGCGCGCACACAAATCTTACAATAATTAATACAACTTTAAGAAAATTAAGACTTTAATTTTAGAAAATTAAAAATATAAGTCATCATTGCTTGTAAAATATTTCTAATAATATCCCGATAGTCTTTCATTAGTTTGCATTTCATCATGTTATATGTTAGTTCTTCGAAACTATCTTCGTCCCATTCTTAAAAACGATAATTCTCAATATTTTTAATACATACAATAAAATGTTTAAGGAATCACTTCTTCATAATTGATAAATATATGATTAGAATATTTAGTTGTCGATTTTTCATTAGCATGAGAAATGTTAGAAAGTGAAACATGTATTTAATACTTTTTGCACTTGTTTAAAAATATCACTTTCGGTTCATCTTAATTGAAAATTCTATGTGAGGCAATGTCAAGCTCTATAAGCATAAGACGTTTTTACTATTATTAAAGTACAGCCGTATGGCCAATTTGTACTGTTTAAGAAATAAACATTTTAATTAGATACGCAAATTAACATTCGATCATGAATTACAGTGTCTAATGCCTACAACTAATGCCAGAATATTCGTTATTTAAATTTTTAGCTCTCCACTTTAAAATCTTTTTAAAATTCGGACAATATAAAAGGCAAGTATTTTTGTAAATTAGACAAAATGATTATGTTACCAGATACTAATATAATCGTTATATCTATAATCGAAATTAGTAGTTGTTAAATCATATGCATTATAAAATATATTGTGATTTAATATTATAAATTATAAATCTCTTTTAATTAGGACTTGATTATATTCTTAAATTTAATGATTTTAATTTAACAGATAATATCTATAAAAATTAACATTTATCGCGTTCCGTTTATTTCATTTAACAAATACGATATAAGAATGTACACAAACAATTCACAAATAGATTTTATACATAAGGGTCTTGAAAATATTTATAAGATAATAATACATTGTTCTCAGAACATTTTTTTTTTTTTTTAAACTTTCGTGTAAATCTTATAAATCAAAAGACTATTGATTAAAAGCAGCTAATAGTTTTGAAAATAAAGTCGCTAATATAAACTCCAGTGTACTATCAAGCTATCCATTATTTCTTACTGTACAATTATTAATGAACTGTAAGCAATTACGCTAAAGAAATTATTAAACTATATACCTATATATACAATATTTTAGTTTTTCACTGGGGTTAAAAGACATTGTTTGCACCACTATTTGACAATTTACTCGGGCAACTTGTCCGCTCTCTAAGCTACTTCGAAAAAAAAAAACCGAAGCAATATTGTTGTTTATAATATTAAGTGCATAAGTAGGGAAAAATTCATTCGTTTATCATCAACATCACATTCATTAAAAAGGAAATACTCGTTGAGAATCTATTTTCGAAGGACTAACATTGGAATATACCTTGAAAAACAATCTCCAAACATGATAAAAATTAAAAAATAAACGTAATCTCACCCTGATGTGGGATACGAGGTAATCCATGATAACATTTTTCTTCTTAGTAAGCGAGTCCTCGTCCTCGAGCTTCTCGTTCATGTCATTCATAAGAGTCTTTATCAGTCCGCCCTCCCAGATGCTCCAGAGCCAGTGAGGAAGATAGCAAGCCATCGCCTGAAATTACAGAAGAGCATATACACATGAGCGTCGGGTGCACGAGCAACACGATTATTTAATTGCAGTTGGACATTCAATATGGCCGATCGTAGATAAGTACCGTGAAACTCAAGAATGGAACTCGTGATAACGCGCCGATTAAAGGACTACGGAGGAGCTAATTTTAGCTGGAAAGTGATAGTCGTAGTTCTTTGAATGATTTCATATAGCACAATTATATTTATAGATTTTGAAGTGTATATTCGAATCTCATTGAAATTAGATTATACACTGTATGTATCATTTTCAAATTCAAAAAAAAAATGAGACAAGTCATTTATAAACCTGATAGCTTAATGTTGGCGATAGTTTTCAAAATTATTATTTAAGAGAAACCCCATTTGAATTTGATATTACATATATTAAATTGAGGCTTAGTATTCTTTACTTGCTTTGCTTAGCAATCAATATTAAAAATCTTTAAATTCACATTTATTTGTGAATTCACTCATAATAATATTTCGTCCCATGCAAAGTATTACATTTTAAAAGAAAAGAGTAATTAACCCTCGTATTTAAATACAATACGATACATTATAGAAAAATATAAAAAATATTGCATGAAATATACATAAGTATGTAAATCATAATGTAAATTAAAATATTTTTACAACTATTTTTTATAATTAAAATATTTTTAAAGCATAATACAATTAATATATTAATGACACTAATATTCTATTGAAATAATTAAGTTTTTTTATCAAACGAATTGATTAATTTTTCACATTTAAAATTAAATTTAAACATATTTAAATAATTTACAGTACATTAACTATTATATTTGTTGTAGTGAACGGAGCATGCGAAAATCCTTATAGAATTTGTTTGAAACACTGTTCTCTTCTCTGGAAAAAAAAAAAAAAAAAAACATTCGTTTCTTTAAATTTTGCAATAAACTACATATGTCAAACTTGGCAGACTTTAGAAAATTTCAAAATATGAAAGAATGTACATTTTAACCGAACACGACTTTTAACCAGACAACGTGATAATAAATTTTACACGTAGCGCTGCATTATTATAAGATAATGCAAGTTCATTGAAATTTAACAAAATTCACGTGACACGAAAAAATCAGCTAAAAGCGGAGTAGCGTCATGAGACGTCGCAAACAAGCTTGAAGCGCAAATTTTTATGCTGATTTCCACTATGAAGAGAAAAAAAAAGAAGAAAAAGAAGAAGAAGAAGAAGACGAAAAAATCAGCTAAAAGCGGAGTAGCGTCATGAGACGTCGCAAACAAGCTTGAAGCGCAAATTTTTATGCTGATTTCCACTATGAAGAGAAAAAAAAAGAAGAAAAAGAAGAAGAAGAAGAAGAGGAAGAAGAAGAAGAAGAAGAAGAAGAAGAAGAAGAAGAAGAAGAAGAAGCGACGGAAGAAAAAACGATCATCCAGCAGATGTCGCGAGTCGCAAAATTGCGATAAGCCATTAGACTGGAGACGAGAAGGACAATACAGCGAAAACCCGAAGCGTAGCAAGAGTCAGATAAATGAGTACGCGTCTCGAGCGGCGGTACGCGTCGTCCGCTGTTAAATAAAGTCGAGGCAAGAAAGAGGTTGGAGCACTTACTTGGAAAAAGAGAACGAAGCAAACCCACTGATAGTAGGTGTAGTATTTCCTTGCGTCGACATCGCCAAAGTCGTTGGCTATGCCAGGGTGGGCAACTTCCAGGCCGACCTGCAATAAGACGCATCGTAGTAGGTATGCAGATTATTGTAAGGTTGAATATGTCAGCGAATGTGAGCTGATGCCGAGCACTTTCTTGTAAAAGATTAAGCAAAATGTGAGTGTCGGTGAATGAGTATTTCTAAAATCCATTGAATAACTTGTCCATCGAGTATCATAATTTTAATTCATGTCATATCGATCATAATTAACACTGTACGCATGTGCATACGAGCACAATTCTAATTCGATTTGCTTAGCAAAATATGCGAGCTAATTTATTTGGATAGGAAGGTGGAATTGGAAATGCCATGATAATTATATGATGATATTAATGTTCCAATAGTTTGGGGACTCGAGTTTTTTCCATTTATAGGATTCGCATCTGAATAATGGCCATTGTGCCTGATTGAATTAATTTTCAATGCACGGATACGTGAAAATTTCAACATTTCTGTAAAAACATGTGTATATTACTTATTGGAATGAAAAGGGAATTCCTTGTCAGTATAATAATCGTACTATGTTAAGGTCTGAGCTCGATCTTACATTTAACATGGAAGCTTCATTGCGCTCGAAAATACTTGACATTTAAATTGCCATGGCATACTTGGATATGAGAAGTAAATGTTTTAAGCCTCTGAATTCTTCGAGTAAAACAGACATGACTCTAGGGAATCTACGTTACGGCTGACTGCTTTCGCTCGATAACTTTGCAATCGGTTATCGCTAAAGTGCAGTGAAAAAGTTTTCACTAATAATAGCTTGATTTTGATTATCTGCCATTATCCAATGTTTTCTATCTATTCTCATAAAACTATTTTTAAATTATTCATCAATTTGTTTTTCCATTTTCATAACGGTAATGCAATCCTCTGTATCAAAGTATGATGCACTAGTAAGTAAAAATTTATTGCATTGCAATTAGGTGTTTGTACTTTCCATTAATAGCGAAGATCAAACTTTCATAAAAGTTGGCATATTAAAAGTAAAACCTACGTTGTTGGCTTACTTTATAAATAATGAATAATACTTAACTTACAACAATTCCAGGGTGTACTACTGAATTAATTCAAGAGCATTAATATTATTTCAAGGCTTTTAAAATAATGCAGATTTCATTGGCAACTAATTGTCATTTACTAAAATGACAGCTTAAACAAATTGTAAAACTAAACATAAAAGGAACAGTAGGTTTAATTAAACAAACTATTTTTATAATTAGCATTTCAAATAAAATTTAAATAAAACTAATTAATTTTATCGGATATCCGACCGATTACTTTGATTCTAAGAAAATACTATACGGTATACTAGCAATTTCTAAGCATTAAATTATAAATTTAAATAGTTGCGTATAATTTATTCTCTTCTTTATTTGTTATTAATTAAATATTTCATAATTAATTTTATAAGGAAACTTTAAGCATTTTTCTATAAAGAGATTGCTTAAAAATTTATGATTTCAATAAGAATCCGGAAAAACCTATTTGATAATAAACTCTAATTAGCAAGGAAATTTTTCTTCATCATACATTATCAAACAATTGCATTCGATACAAGATAATTTATAATATCCAAATATGATATTAAAGTATGCTGTATATTAATATTAAATACTAATAATAATTACATAAATCGTATATTCGTTTTTCTTAAAAAAAAAAAAAAAAAAATGCCTCATAACTCAAAAACGATTTCCTAAATATTCTCCTGCGATTTATCAATAACCTATTTCTCCTTATCCGACGTAATTCAATGATTTATGGAAATAAACTTAATTCATTTGCGGGTAGAATTTTTATTTTACGATCTCGCTCTCTGAAGGTCACCTACATCTCTACACATGCACGATGCTTATGATTAGGTTATTAATAAAAAAAGTTTATTGTTGAAGAGAAAAATAAAAGTAATTGAAACAAGTAAGTCATTTATCGATCGTTGTGTGCTTTGCAATTACAAATACTTCGACTGTTCTGCACAACAATTCTGCCGTTAAGAGCCATTTCAAATGTTTTTATGCTTGAATTGTTGAACACTAAAGTAAAATTTATGAAGAGGCTCTAAAAATTGATAATTTATATACATAAATTTTTTTACAAAGATTACTTGGCTAATTGTGAATCGTCAATTTTCTATTGCTATGTTTGTTATGTTAATATTTCCTTTACATAATAATGTTAAATGTCTATTTGAGAATGTTATTTAATTTAAAATAAATGCCTAAATTAGTTGAAAATGAAATTTAAATAAATTATAAGCATAAACAGGTCTTATACGATTTAAATCTTAAAACCTTTCAAACGTTCACCCTACAATTTAAGTTTTAACAGAACGATATCTAATATTTTTAAATTAACAGCAAATCTTTATGACCAGTATTAAATATCTTGGCTTTCAATAACTTCGCTGATAACATACGAATGGTATTGAAATATCGTACACAATGCAAAATAATTTATTCCGTTAAAAAGAAAAACTTTTTAAAAAGGTATTCGTTATCCTGGCAAAAGCTTCATTACTAATGGAAGAATCAATTAGATTAATCATAAAACGTAACGCGCAGATAAATATAAATGAAGTTTTTCTTGATATTATGATCTAGTAAACCTGTTTACAACTTAATCTCTCTACCTATCGGGTATCAGTCCCTATCAAATGCAAACAAATAAAATGATTATTAAAATAAAATGGCGAGCACATAAAAGAAACTTATACTACAAATAATAAATTAAAATCCCGATGCCCAGTTTAATCAGTACACCTATTCACGTTCGCGTCTACCTAGTGGAATTTTTCAATTTTGCCGACCAGCCAGAATGTTTTGCCCGTTCGCCCTCGCATTGAGAAAACATTAACGCGCATGCGTAATGGGAACGAATAGCGAATAAGAAAACTCGACTCGACTGCTTCCCATTACGATTTTACTCGGGACTTTCTTGAAATTTATTCATAACTGTTTGGGTATTGCTTTCCTTTTTTAAGAATAATATTTTATAAACGAATTAAAGGATTAGTGGGTGATTACGAAGAACAAAAAGTTCAATACTATTTATACCTTTGCATTCGTGTTCATTGTTTCAAAATATTATTCGTAGGCGAAAAAATGTAGGTAAAACAGAGAAACTCTATTATTACGATGATTATAAATTAGTTATAAAAGAATTATAAAAATTTTAAATATTATTTTTACTCGTGTACATTTATGAATATGCACAAACCACTTCAAAAGATTTCAAATCATTTTCTAAACGTTCTTTAACGATTTCACGCTTTTACTATAACCGGCACAAACTGATTCTACAATAATAGACTTTTTTTTTTCATTGCTAAACGCAATCAAATTATATAACATTAATCTATGATACGAAATTTTAGAAAATTAAGCTTTAATAAGAATGCTCTGCAAGTTTATTTTATTTGTACAAAGTCAATAGTGTAAAATGAAATCTCAACCTAAATGCAAAACATCACTTTTAATTTAATCAGAATTTATTGATAGATTATTAAATAAATTATTATCAATAATTAAAATATAATTACTGTATTAAAGATATATTTAAAATATCAGTGTGATTTAATAGGGGAATGAAATTATTTAAAATCCGTTAATTGAAAAAGTATCGTGCAACAAGAGGGTACTTAACAATAAATATGCTTGTCTTACTATGCAATACAAATGAAATATAAGAATTATTATAATATGTATGTAAGTTGCACACATTGCATTATTTATGAAACATGAGAAAGGAATGCGTAAGGTGCAACACTGAAAGAACAAAATATTATGTCGTATTTACTAATCTCTATTATCTAGAAAAACAGACTCTCGAGCATCTATTAACATCATTAAGACTTGAAATATTAAAAATCTGTATGCTTGTGTGTGAATTACGAGCAAATTAGTTATACTCAATGTCAATGATACAATTATTGCCACTTGAAAGTACTTGTTAGAGTGCTAAGCGTATAATAATATTCATGTAGAATTTATATATATATAATTTATTCTAGCGTTGTCAATATCAATTCTAAACAAATTGTATTCACAATAATTCAATAATGGAGATAACATATACCTGACGATTGAATGCATCTGGCATAGTGAATGTGGAGGTAATCCAGCAATAAGTGTTGATTGGCTGCGTTGGCAATGCCGATGGAACAATACAGGAGATTGGATTACCTACAAACTGTGTGGCAGTAATGATCATCGAGCAAGTCAGCAGTAGCACAGCTGTAAATAAATTGTGCATGCGGAAGACCATTGAATCCGTACTGATCTCCTGCCATTTCAAATAGCCCTTCAAACCTCCCAGTAGCTTCAACATCTTCAAGTCTTATTTATTTTATCCTCTATCTATGTTTTTAATCTTCAACCAACGGTTGCAAATAAATGACCTCAAAAGGGCATGGGAAACCACTTTTAACCATCTAAGACTACGATTCTTAATCTCGAACTTCTGTGCCTCGAGCGTGAGGTGGCCGGACTTATTGCCGAACAACCGACCTCGTCTATCAGACAGATGGCAGGAAAACGAAGGGACCGCAGTAACGAATATTATATGATTCGCTTCTTTCTCTTCGGCTCTGTTTCTCCCTCGCTCTCTCTTTATATCCCGGCATAAGCGGCTCTACGGCTATCCCTCTCCTTTTATATCCTTTCCTTTCACAATCCTTTTATTCGTCTCGTCTTTCACTTTTCTGATCTTCGTGATGCTTAATTAATGTTGCAGCAATGTTGCGTCTGAAACATAAATTGTTTATTTTGAAAAGCAGTCGAAACATTAATCGCGAATACTTAAAATAAACGAGTTCGTACGAATCAATGAACCTGTCCAGCGCTTCTTTAATATAATTATACAATCGTGCAACACGCGAGAAGTTTTTCATTTTTTTTTTTTTTTTTTATTTTTTTTCACCATATTTAACATCGAATGTTTTTAACGTTTTTTAAATTGTTACGCTCAATTATTATTCCAATAAATGTAAATTGATGTAAACCGAATATGACGCAATGTCTCGCAAACTCTACTTTTCCCGCGCATTCTCACGAACTATCCACTATTCTCATTCATGGAATATGTATTATTTACGCATGACTATCAAAATAATTTGGCAACTTCGAATCGAGGCGTTCGCATCTTGAAAAGTCAAAGAGACAAGTCACGGAACAAGTCAAAGCGCATCATTTGAATCGAGCGATTCATCCCTTTTCTTTCTCTCTCTCTCTCTCTCTCTCTCTAAAATTATAAAAACTGCTCTTATCTCAAAAGCATTAGGAATCCCAGAGTCTGCGATCAAGCCAACGCAAAGACTCGTCAATTTTGTTGTGCCGATGTAGAATGTAGAGAAATATATTTTTCGTGAAAGGATAAAAAAACACGAGTAAGCAAGGGTCGTCGTTCTACGCGAACTACGTGGCATAACATATCAATAACTCGAAGCCTATCATTTAAAAAAAGCTCTAATGTAATACTTCGAGTTCCTAATCCATCGAAAATATTATAATTTAGCTTGGACAATGTCTAGCAATTACAGAAACACTGTGCTCCAAATAAATAAGCATGACAAAACTTCCCATCGTCAGCTGGAAAAAAACAATGGCCCCTAAGGAGTATTTTATGCCTTATTTTATCTTTCCAAACGAACCAACACGAACAAAGCTATGTTGTTGGAAAATTTAGCTCTAAATAAAATCTCAATATCAAAGTATTATAAATTATCTTTCAAAAGTTAACCAATATAAATTTCAAATTCATTCGAACAGAAGCCCATGCTCTACTACAACGGCCTATAAGGTGTAGCACATTTGGCTTGTAATTCCGAAGAGACAAAAGAATTACAAAACAACTTGGCGCTGTTCGATATTTACGCTCTCTCTCTCTCTCTCTATCTATCTATCTATCTATCTATCTATCTATCTATCTATCTATCTATCTATCTATCTATCTATCTATCTATCTATCTATCTATCTATCTATCTATCTATCTATCTATCTATCTATCTATCTATCTCCCAAAGAAATTGAAAATCCAAAAAAAAGAAAAAGGTTATTAAAAATCAAAAACCATCGACGAATTATTGAATAAGCGCTGATGTGTCGAAGCCGGGAGTCCCATAGACAAGCGTACAATTACGAAAGAGAGAAGCAGCATCGACCAAGTGAAATTCATTCTCGTCAACAAC